CATACTTGGCAATTGTGGGGTCAAAGAGGTTGACATAAACTTACCCACACTTGGCAATTGTGGGGTCAAAGAGGTTGACATAAACTTACCCATACTTGGCAATTGTGGGGTCGAAAAGGTTGATGTGAAAACTTACCCATACTTGGCAATTGTGGGGTCAAAGAGGTTGACATAAACTTACCCATACTTGGCAATTGTGGGGTCAAAGAGGTTGACATAAACTTACCCACACTTGGCAATTGTGGGGTCAAAAAGGTTGACATAAACTTACCCATACTTGGCAATTGTGGGGTCGAAAAGGTTGATGTGAAAACTTACCCATACTTGGCAATTGTGGGGTCAAAGAGGTTGACATAAACTTACCCATACTTGGCAATTGTGGGGTCAAAGAGGTTGACATAAACTTACCCACACTTGGCAATTGTGGGGTCAAAAAGGTTGACATAAACTTACCCACACTGAGTAATATATTCAAAGCTGATGGATGCCAGAGGATTTGAGTGACTCTTCTTTGATGGTATTGGAGATCTACTAAATACTCAGTCAGATTTTCAGTTAAACCTTCGTCTGGAATCTCCCAAAGTTTGATAGAACAGTCTTCTGACGAACTAGCAATGATGTTATCATTGAATGGACACCATGCCAAATCCAGGACCTCTGCTTTATGGCCGCATACACGGGCTGCATTCATATCAATACGACCACCCTATAACAAATAATATATTCAAAGATTTATAAAATAAGGATATACAACTTTCACAACCATGCACAGCAATGTGATGAAGATTTCATGAAAAACGAACTACATTGTACCATGATATGCTATCATTTGAAGTACTTGTGAAAAACGAACTACCATGATATGTTAGCATTTGAAGATCTCATGAAAAACAAACTGCCATGATATGCTATCATTTGAATGTGACCCTATTTAATGCTTGTCAAATTGAAATTATTTCCAACCAATACTGTCACAGAACACAGTATACATGTACAATGGCTTGCTAATTGTCCAAAAGGCTAAATTTATTGAATTATTTATTTATTAAGTGACTCAAAAACAAATTTGCCCTAATGCTTTACTGCATTATTCATGTATGGTAGGCCTGAAGTTGATGACAGTGACTTGATGACCAGTTTGGCTAAAAGTCTTAGCAACCTAGAGAAGGCCCTAATGGATTATTGATAATGTTTTATTACATAAGGACAAATAAGTGAGATTATCACTGAAATGAAATATGCAAATATACATTTTACATCTGCAAATATGCAAGCTACCAAAAACAGTAATCAGTTCTATTATTAGTGACTCACTTATTGCACAATCATTTCAAGAAATGTATGTTTTTGTGGTCATCTAAGATATCATACATTTTGTATACCTTATACATGTATAAATCATTGATACAAATCAAAGACTACATATGTATACTCTATATTGAGCAAGGTACATCATTAGTTGGTGGAAAAGTGAAAATTTCTGTCAAAACATATTCACACACAATGTTTCATTACCAACCAAAGATTCACAACAAAATGGAAAACCCTTCGCATATTTTATTACAACAGTTGGTCAAATACATTTGTACTGTTATCTGAAACTCATTAAGAATTGTGATTGGTTATCGCTTTTTTTTGAAAAATAACATCATGCAGTTTTCCAGCAAAAACACAATGTCGAAGGATTGTAGTACAACTTTGATAAAATTCACTTCCACAATACATTCTTAGCAATTGACAATATTCAGGTAACAAAAAAAATGTTTTTGTCAGATAAGCGACTAGTTAAAGTACCTGGTATCAACATATTATATCAGTAGACTGCAGAAGGCCACCACAAATGGTCAAGATATTGACAATATCTATTACCGGTATATAAAAAAGCTCCAGCATGCAATGCCCTGGGTACTGTGTAATAGCATGCTATTTTAGTTACTAAATTATATTTTCACTAATTTTAAGATTCAAGAAGTCTATTCTCATAATCAGACTGGCAAAATGGCATGTAACTATTTCAAAATATTTTATAGGACTGTGAGGAACACCAGTTTTAAACCTTTTACTTATTTTTGTTTGTTTGTTTTTTCACTTACTTGAGTACTAGTTTTCATGTTTTTAAATTCCACTGATTAGTTATAACATTTTTATGATAAAACTTGTTACCAGTATTTACAATTTTGAAGAAACAGAAACTAACTTTTAAAAAGAGACAAAATAGGATTTCTTTTGATGGCATACAAAATGATATAAAATATTATTTTTGTAGTTTTACAAAAAAAAAAAATGAAACTTGAATAAAACATCTACCGTATTGCTTAGATGTAATCATAACAATGAAATCAGAATACCTAGGATTCCAGCAAATCTATATTTGGTGTAATGAAAGAATGCCAAACATTGAATTTGCCTTGTTCTGCTCTGTTTGCAAAGTTATATACCCCGGTAGGTGACCGTGAGGAGATATTTTGGAAAAAACAGGCATTAACACTTGCATACTGCCTAGGAATTCATGAATGGCTTTACATCAGATAGGGACAATATGACAAAGAAAACACAACTTTGTGCAACAAAAGCATTTAGCATGCTTTATTGTTAAGTTTCCACAACCAACTAAGCAAATGAATATTAAAAAGCAAAATGGCTACCAGATGACCGCCTTTTTATAAGACAACATTTTGTGAAACAGCAAGCAGATCAATTGCCATGTAGAAATTACCCCCCAGGCTGTCCAATTCACCAAGTTTTAATATAATCTATCAATAATGGTTAAGACACAACAAAACATTGTTTGCAATACAATTTCTTGTCAATCTACCAATTTTAAATCAATTGAGGAATGGCGATCTTAAACTGTTTCAGGCATATTAGGATTGAATGCAAACATTGTATAGTGTAGTGCCATTGAAATGTTCTAGACTGACTATAACTAATGGACCAATCAAAAATTTAGAATAAATCCACTGTAGTTTTTTTCCTGCAAAACTAAGATTTACTGCTTTGAAGACTATATTGCAATATTAACTAAAAAAAAGTTTAGGGTTGGGAAGTGAAAATAGGGTAGGTAGGTTATAGGAACCACACCATTTAATTCTCTTGACATTATTCTTATCATTCACATACACCCATTTGAGATACTTCCTGGTAAACAGATCCGCTTGGTACGAGGAAGTAGACCATCTTACAAAACTTTTTTTTGCAAATACCAGTATTTTATTTACATAGACCAGACAAAAATTAGTTTTTAAAATTAGTCCCATTTTACCCATTCTTTCACATTATTTAGTCATTTTAGTTTTTACTTTCTTCAATCACAACAAATTCTCAAATTTGACACCTTAATGTAATATTCCATTAACATCCAAGTAAAATATAATATTTCCAAATTTTGGGAATATTTGTAAATGTATATTCTGTTAGAATTTGCAAGGGAATGCGGATAACCATTGAAGTACAGGCAATAAACCTCAGCTTAAATTAACTTGTAACATTATTTACAGGTAATAAAATCCTGAAAAACAGCACTGTGTCAAATTCTGGTTGGTTATTATACATGATGTGTGGTAAATATACTGACTGTAGGCAGTCATAGACATAATACCTTCTTAAAATCTCACAAAAAATATCCTATCATTTTTGTCAAAAAATTAAAAATAAAATGAAAATTAAATTTTCCTGCAAAGTCTAAAAGCACAATTTTAAAGCCAATTCAAGCATGCAATGATTTTTTAACTTTTTGTCATGTTTGTTTAAGTCATTGGGTTGTATTCTCTCCTTTTCATCAATAGCAATATTCCCCCAATTAAAACCATGTGAAATTATTAATGTATTGTTTTCTTCACAAAACCACACACAAAAACTTCAGAGGACATAGAAAAATATGCTGAAATTAATCCCCTAGTCAATATATCCCATTCAAATATTTTCAGAAGCTCTGCAATTTTGTTAAAGTAACAGAGAAAATAATTATGATACAAATAAAGTATTTTACTGATGACCCAGTGCTTTAGGGAAACTCCTTATAAGGGCATGTCTATTATAGTTGTGAACTGAGTCACTTCCTCCAACAGACTGTGATATGTACACAACAACACAGGTAAATGTTGACAGACACACCCATTCACAAAATGAGGGCATCAACATTAACAACAATATTTTGAAAAAAATCTACAAAATTGATAAATACAATTATAATTTAACTAAGGTTGCAGTAATACTAATTAATTAAACTTAATTAGCCATGTTCAAAGAATATTTGTGCAGCCAGTTTACTCGGTGTCTTCATAAAAAGGATACAGAGTATCCACCGCATGTTGGCCAAAATAATATTATGCAGGAAGTTATAAAGTTCGAAAATATTTTCAGATAAAAGTTTGAAAGAAAAAAATCTTACCCCAGTTGTTTTCAAGACGAGGAAAGCACCGCCACCTGCAGCCTCGATACAAATGGCAACAAACTTAGAGTTTGCGGAACAAAAAGTACCATCTTGAGAAGAACGAGTTACTCGTACACCATCATAGCAATTCTCCTTCTTCAGCACTTTACCGAAAATGTGACGGTATTTACTCTGCCTTACCACACGAACCGACATGTTCTGCAACAGATCGAGGGGAAATGTGTTGATATTGTTCTGAATATAGGTGCGCAACTTAGCACTGCTTTAGAAAGGATTCACTAGTCATTCTAGCTGCAGTTCT